TATATATATATATATATTTATATATATAAGCAGACAGAGAGTGAGTGTGTGAGAGAGAGAGAGAGAGAGAGAGATTGAAGTTTAGGTGTTAGATAGTAAATTGATAAGAATTGGGTGGTATGTAGTTAAACTATTATTATTATTATTATTACTTTAATAATAATAATAATAATAATAATAATGGTTCATTCCCAACATATTTTTCCCATTATTTCAGTCTCCTCTGAACTTCTCGATTTAAGTTTTGGGCAATGGGCTTAATGCCAAATAAATTTCTTGAGCACATAACCCACGCAGAAAGCAGAAGGAAGACTTGTTGCATTAGCCGTTAGGATTAAAAAAAAAAAACAAACAAAACAAAAAATCTATGCATAAAAAAATTGGAAGCATGCTGCCATGAGTTGTGATCTTTCGGCTTCTTGTCTCCCTTTATTCTTTTAATTATTATTAAAGTAATACTACTAAGTTTTATTTACATATTTAACACCTAAGTTTTACTTTTTTGCATTTATACCACTCACAAAAATGCCACTAATTTAACCTTTACAAACTGGAACACTGCTTTTCAAGGACATAGATAAGGTGGCATGCATGCAAAACTTGAATTTTAGTTGTTAGATATGTAAATGCGTAGAAATTGAGTGGTATATATGTAAATTTTCTTTATATTTTATTTTTCGTTTGCGTGTGAATGGTTTAATCAGAATACTAAGCTGTGTCTTTCCAACTATTTCTGCTGTACTAAAGATGCTGTCTGATTCCGTTCCTTATTTGAGTATTGGCTCTTCTGCCTTCGGCCATGTTGATTTCATCATTAATTTTGCTCATGCATTTCTTTGGATCCGGTCAAAGATATGTGTAAGACATACTTAATTTAATACTAATCTTTTTTTAAAGGGATTTTTGCATATTAACCCCCCAAAATTTTAAATATAACGGATCGATCGCCCAAATTTAGTGAGTCAAATAATTTTCAATAATGGTTAAACAAAGTGATAGCCTGCCCCACCTTTTGATCAATACCATCAAAATTTGTGGCATTTCATCAATGACTTCTGATAGAATATAAATTTCATTAATATCAATCCTAAAGTTTTTTTGACAGGAAGAACCAAAAAGACATAAATAATTCAATATATAACCTTGAAAGTGATAATGCAAAAAGTACTTTGGTTAGGTATGCATCATGTAGAAGAATAAACAACCTCTAGACCATGCGGGTCTCATGGGCCTTTTTTTTTTTTAGGACCCCACATTTTATATCAAATTTGTATTTTAGTTTTCTTTTTTTATTATTATTTTGAGATCTGAGCCAATTTACTCACAAATACACACATATTGCAAATTACAAGACATTCAACTTATGATCACTTTTTTTTGGAGTAGAACCAACTAGGGGTGTAAACGAGCCGGGCTTGAGCGAGGCTAAGCTTTGCTCGTAGTCAGCTCGTTAAAAAAACACAACTGTTCGTGTTCAGCTCCTTTATGCATCCAGCTCAAAAAATCTGTTCGTGATCGGCTGGTTTGCTTAATGAACCGAACACGAGCTGTACGTGAACGAGTCATTTTGATAATTTTAGTTGTGAAATCTTAGGATGTTAGAGGTAAGGACGAGACTTAAGTCTTATTGTTTAAATTAAGATGTCCACTTGAATATAATTTAGTATGTATTATTATGTATTTTTAATTAATCACTTTTTTTTTCTTTTTCGTAAATGCTCCGATACGGGTTTGTTTCAGAACCAAACTCTATTTAAATTATTAGCGTCTGTGGGCCCGTGTGCGATTGACGTACGCAGCGCTGCGTAAGATATTGAGTTTATACCGAGGGTACAAGGGGGTTATATCCGCAGTATAACCTCTTGTAACCTCCCTATAATCTTCTGTAACCAACCTGTAACCTACTAATAAATTCTTAATATATGATAACAGAAGCGTGAAATTTATTTTAGGTTACAGGTAGGTTACAGAAGGTTACAGGGAGGTTACAGGGGTTATACTGCGGATATAACTCGATTGTACTCTCGGTATAACCTCAATATCGTACGCAGCGCTGCGTACGTCTATCGCACGCAAAGTTTTTCCCTCTTCAAGAGTTATTTAGCCCTTTTGAATCAACGGCTCACGAATTAAGAAAGTGTAATGGCATAAAATAAGGAAAAATACAAATAATTTGATTACTTTTGCAAACAAATAATTGTTGGTTGATATTATATGTAATTTTAAAAAAAGAAAACAAAACAAACTTTAGGCAATATGGACATATGTGGAGAAGCAGGACAAAAGAGCATTTCTGTCATAACTGTGATAGAACGAGTGTGGCAGGTCAGCAATATTGCTTTGAAGAGACTTGAAATTTAATTTTTTTGGGAATTTGCGAACATACCACACAATTCATATATATTTACATTTTTAACATCTAAGTTTTAATTTTTGTAATTATAACACTCAAATTTTTAAGAAGCGAAGCACACATTGTGAAGCATAAATAAAGTAGTATAGAAGTAATAATTAAAATTTGAGTGTTAAATATGTAAATACATATGAATTATATGGTATGCATGTAAATGTTTCTTTTGAGTGAATGAAAAAGGAAGGAAGACAAAAAGTGTTTGGTGCTGTTGACTTGGTTAGGTGTTGATGAATCTAAAGAGGGTGAGATCTCCCAAACCATGTGACTCTTTCTTTCCTGTGGCAGAAAATAAATAAATAAATATTGCAAAATTGTTTTAAATTTCATTAAAATAAAGATTAAGATTAATTAATCAATTAAGATATAATTGTAGAATGAATAAATTTATTATGATTGATTAATAATATGTTATTGTATTCAGCTCAAATATAGTTTAACAGTTTTATGGAGTCTTTGATATTCATTATGAGATTAATTTTGTATTATAGAATGCTTAAAGGCCAATTTAAACACACACACACACACATATATTGTATTTTATTTATTTTATATAAAGGAATGGTTGAAGGCTATGATACGACCCCCGGTCATCCCTCGTGCTCCTATAATTCGAGTACCATACCCTATACTCAGGGGTAATCGAACCCCATATTAGAGGAGACTTACAACTGAAATGTGTTGTGTACGTCTGCTTGTTGGTTGGCATCCAATATATAAGACCCCTCAGATCGGGCTTCAAATCCCTTCAGGCACATTTGGCCTTAAGGAGGTGGTACTTGAATTGTTAAGCACATTATGGGTGGTGGAGGCTCGTATAATAGCCTTTAGTCATTCCTTTATATATATATCAAGTAATTTTTATCTATGAATATATCTAACATCAAAATGTTGAATTTTCATTTATAAAATTTTATCTCTGTGTAGTTAATGATAGTGATATTCTTTTGTGTGATATGAAAGATTTTAAAGTTATAAATTTTGAAATTAAAGTTTAAAAAATAGATATATAAATACATAGAAATTGTGCGTGTGTGTGTAAATGTTGCAAAAATTTCTTGAGGAGTTATTTGGTAGTATGAATTTAATAGTCATATAGATATTTGAAATGTATTTCATTTGATTTTTTGGTATTTGACCCGTACAATACTATTTTTTGTTTTATTAATAATACGCCGATAATGATTTTCCATCTTGTGCCATGGATCTCGATGTAAATTTTTTAGTAATAAACATTCTTACTTTGATTAAAAGTCTTTCAAAACATCAGTTTCAATAAATTTATAATGAAATTGATTGGCTTGACGAGACTGACCCAACAATATCAAAATCGGTCCAATTCGAATCTTATCAAGCCTGGATCAAGCCAATAAACTATTTTAGAAGATTTCCAGTCATAATTGAAAGGTCAAACAGATTTCAAATCCGGGGAGCCTATAGTCAAATTGAGCACCTCGACAAGACAAATCCAAGGAGTTCAAGTTCACTCAAATCTGACATCTTTAAGGCATTAAAATGTTCACCGAACACCATCCAGTTAAAGTGATCTCTTTTGGTCGTCCTATCAAGAGTGGTATAGATTCTTTCTTTTTGCAATCTTGACTCTATAAATAGAGCCCTAAACCCTCATGTAAGGGGGATCTAAACCTTGGGCAAGAGCAATTTAGAGAATGCGGAATAGGGAGCTACAGCCCGCCTACTGCATCACGGATCCGCGGGCTTCAGTCGCTTCCACTTATAGCTGCACCACCGATTCTAGTCGTCGATTCTAGCAGACGCTGCCTCCAGCCAACTCAAATTTTCGCATCATACAACCAACTCTGGTCACCGACACCACCGACCAACTCTGGCCATCATCGCCCTCTTACAAGTGCAGCCACCAACTACACTTGTCAATCGCTGTCGACCACCATTGTCCTCTTGTTCCTGCAGTCATCACCCAACTCCAATCACCACATTTCGACCACTGTCGACCATAATAGGCCTCCACCTGCTCTTTACAGCGATGTCTTTATGAAGACATAATGTGTGTTGTGAAACCCCAACGTACATTACAAAGTAACAACGCACCTCAACTACGGTGCAACGACACACCCTGAAGACCATGTAATAATGCACCTCAAAGATGGTGACTTCTTCTAGATTCCTAAAGTTATCTCACCTCACTACGGTCTATGTGACCAACTACAACTTACGTGGTCCACAGCTCATGAATCTCCCAATTCTGGCTCCTTGGTGTACAAATATCATCACAACTCGTCACTACAACTTACATGAAAATATGACCCATGTGGTTCGTAGGTTGTGCAACTCCTGACTTTGGCCCTCGTAGCCTAAGGTTGTCGTCCCAGCTCACCACTACGTCCTACGTGAACAACTAAAAACTCAAAATTCATAGCTCACACAACTCCCAACTTTGTCCTCTGTAGTTTACGGGCATCATCACAACTCAACGCTATGGCCTACATGACAAACAGTTGCTTACTTGGTTTACAACTCTTGCAACTCCCGATTTCGGACCTCGAAGCTAACGAATGTTATCATAGCTCACTACTATGGCTTACATGGTGCACAACTCGTGCAAATTGCGACTCAGGCCCCCACGACCTATAGAAGTCATCACAGCTCACCACTCTAGCTCATGCAACCAACATGGCTCACAGTTCTTGTAGCTTTCTACTACGGCCTCTGTGGCAAGACACTTCTGAAGCAACCATCTGTGATCCACATGCCCAACTACTGTCGTGGCTCTCAACTACAATCTATATGACAAGCTGACACTACGGCCAGTGTCTGCAACATTAACGCAGACTACTGTCTTCATAGCAATCCACTACGACCCTTGTAGCCTACTATCATCGAGAACTATATGCATTACAGTCAAACTAGTTGTACATTGACAATGATTATCTTTGTAATTTCATCTTCCCTTAATTTAGGAGAAGAGTTGACATATTAACTTACTATTCATAGATGATTATTTCAACTGGGTTAACCCTCATGATTTTTTCCAAGTAAAAATTGAAGTGTTTCATCTTCCTTCTCTTTTCTTATCTGAGTGGATGTTGGAGTCTCGTATAATGTTAAGATACTCAATAATTATTATGTTGCCACAGACTTTCTAGCATGCATCAAACTAAAAAAAAAATTGAAAAGCTTAGTGCACAAATTGCAACATAAACTCGCCCCTAGCATTAAATTAAGACTGAAGCAGCGTCTCTAGCCAAGACTTGCAACGAGAGCTCGCCTCTTGCTATAGGATTTTTGACACGGAGAAACTAAATCATAACCAGGCTAATGATGTTCGAGCAATGAAACACAAAGGAGCTTGCTTGAGCTAAATAAATGATTAGAACGAATTGCAAGCGAAGATCACGTGTGAAAATGTGGACAAGAGCGACAATGTGTAAGAGAGCAAAAAATTTGATATGAAATATTGAGAATAAGTTAAAATTTTTTTGATAATTTTTTGAAAATATCAATGACATTTATATAATTATAATTTCTCCTACTTATTTTAACTCTTGATATAGTGCTGAGGGATGGGAGATACAGAAAGAGTAGAGCAATAACACTATAATGAATGGTCAAATTGTGTAACCTTATTCCTGAAAAGGACACATTTTACCTTCTTGGTTTATTCGGGTTGGAAGGCAACAGGTTTATCTAAATGGATCTGGTCAGATGATTCTTCGGAGATGAAATATTCTTTTTTCCGTCTGAGGTGCTCCATATTCCCGATATGCGTGGGTTGGTCGGCTAAGTGTGTGATTCTGGGTCTTCCTTAATAGGCCCTGTTAGGTCGCGACACTTCTTCTGCCATCTCTGAGATGCTTTTGAGATTTGTGCTGATACTTTTTTCGATTTACATATTAAAAAAAGATTTGAGATGACCGGTCGAACCCGAGAAAATGGCCAGCCATGATGTACCGATCGATCTTTGTTGATGACCGATTAGGGATGGTCGGTCGACTGAAAGGTCAGACTCCAATTAATTGGTTGAAGAATAATAAGTCTTCATATTTTTCGTCACAAATGTTGTCAACTGTTGGTGGGCCAAAATGCCCCATCATCAGTCAACCTGATGACATTCAATTGGCCCATAGTTCTTTAGCCGTAAATTCTAGCTTTTGAAATCATTCATTAAGCCGCTTTAAGATCTGTGCAGATCATTTTTAGGCGTACAATTTTAAATTTTTTTTTGTCAAAGAGGAATAAAATTACACATTCACATCTGATTTACATTTTTGTAACCATGTAAGTGGACAGGAAGGAGTAAGATATAATTTTACCCATTTTTACCAATATTACCTAAAACCTTGTACATTGACATCACACTCCACTTGCCTGCAATATGATTCGACCGTTACATCTCTCCCACTCAAAATCAGATTTAACGTCACTCAGAACTGGGACCTAATTTTAGGACCCACCATTTCACCTTTCAACATATCCAGCTCTGCGCTCCACATCGGATTCCCCGCAGACCCACAACGCCCTTTATATATAAGCAATTAGTGCCACCACTCGGTCCTCACTCAAAAGCAGAGCAAAGCTCAACGGCCGTCGGTATGGCTCAGCTCCCCCTCTTCCGTTCACAGAAGCACGTTTCCCCCAACACCGCCTCCGCCGCCGCTACAGCCGCCGTAACTCCAATAGACAGCTCCGCCTCCGCCGCCGGCAAACAATGTCTGCCGTGCTCCGGCGGACTAGGGCGGCGTCTGGTAAGGAAGTTGAAGAAACAGAGCAGGATGCTCTGTACGGCCGGCCGTACGCCAGCCGCCGTCTGCGGTACTGCGGGCGGCGACGCCGCCTCCTTTCAGTGCCAGTACGATCCGCTCAGCTACTCGCGGAACTTCGACGGCTGCTGTGCGCTCGACGACGACTCATCCCATTCATATTATACGTTTTCTTCAAGGTTTGCTCGGCCGTTAGCCGCCGCCGCCGCCTCCCGTTAGAGGTTTTGTAGGAAGAAGAAGACTGTTTGTTCTTTTCATTGCTCGCCTGTTATTGGATTTTCTTTTTCTTTTCTTTTTTAATTTTTTGATTTGGTATTATGTTAATTATTGGTGTTAATTATGAATTAATTAAGCGAAGTTTGGATGGGAGAGATTCTGGTGCTAATAATTGGATGAAGGCTTGTTTCAGGCCAAGCTAGTTCTTATCTGTCTGCTGCTGTCTTTTCTAACTCTTTCAAATATTCGCAGAACAAAATAGATTTGTCTGACATTACTTTTCCTTTTCAAGTTGATTAAAAATATATTCATTTTTATATATTTACACCATCAAGATTAATTTTTTATAACACGTCAAAAAATATTATTACATTAGTTTTTAAGAAGTGAAAATACACGTTTTAAAGCGTAAATATGGTAGGATATGGGTAAATATTGAAGTATATGCATTAGACGTGCAAATACATAACATTTGAGTCGCATGAATGAAAATCTTCCAACATTCAAATGTTATACTAGCTTTTTTTCAAGGCGACAGATTATTCAAACCATCAAATAATGCAGCCGGCATCACCTAAATGTGCAAATTCAAGCTAATAGTTTGAGTTCGATTCATATTTGACATGGGCTAAGGGTCTGTTTGAGGCAGTTTATTTGGTGCGGTGGCGTTTCGAAAACGCACCTGATCTGTTTGGATAAACTGTGTTTCGGCAGCTTATGCGTTTTCAAAATACTGAAAACATTGTTTTCACATCGCACCTATCTAGGTGTAGTGGCAGCTTTTTGGCAGCGGTATGACTTTTCTAAAAAAATAAAAAAATCTATAATAGTCACCGCACCTAGCTTATCAGTAGATTATTTAATAATTTGCAGCTGCCCCAAACATACCTAAATATGCATGATTGAAAAGTGACTCCTTTATTAAATGATTAAAAAAATTAGCCCTAATGAAATCTGTTATCAATACAACCTTAAATTCGACTCAGATAACTCATTTTACGTGAGACAAAATAATAATTTAAGTTGAATTTAGATTCATGAGCTTGACCAAAGAACTCTAAAGTTAATCAGATCAATCAAAATTTGAACATTTTTGAGTTCGGCTAGCTTGTCTGGTCAATTTTTACGTCCGAAATCTCACCTACATCATAGGAGATGTTTTGAATAATTTAAGTACTCTACATAATATTGATGCTTCTACAATTTATGGGAAGAAAAGCTCTTTATAATCTTTATAATAGCTAAAAAAAATAATAGCTAAATGAAAATATAATTGTAGTATGAAAATCGAAGTAGTAAGGAATTGTCCCAAGCAAAGCCTGCCGGTTATCAGGCTTAAAGCACCTTTTATTTCTATTTTTGAATTTTTTTGTATAAAATCAATATTCTTTTCAAACATTTTGATTTAGCACATTAAAAGTTTCTATTTTATTTTTATTCTAGCATAAAAAAATGACTTTTAAAAAATGACTCTTTTAAGCATAATATGAAACTAAATAGGACGCACTGGAGAAAAATGATTCATGTAGCCGACCACACATAGTGATATTAAGGCTTTGTTGTTGTTGTTGTTGTATGAAAAAAATTACTCTTTTGTTAGTTTATTTTAAGGGCATTTACAGCATACCGCCGAGTAGAATGTATGTAAATTACTTTTTCTTTTTCTTTTTTTGGTGGCTTGAGAAGGAAAGTGGTATGCCAATCGGTCATGTAAAACAAGAATGCACATGGTCGAAGGGCCCGTCAAGTTAAACTTTTGTTGATTCAGTGAATATTGGGTGGGAAAATAATACACGTGGATTGGTGGTATTTCACTATAATAATATCATAATATCACTAAAATACCACTAATCTGCATCTACCTCATCAATACGTAATATTTTCTATGTAGATGTATATGATACTTCTAGACAGATTTAAAACAACTTTTGTTATAATCATTAGTAAAAGGCGATTTTTTTTATTATAATTTTATTTTTTCTTTATAAATTATCTATGTTGAAAGAAAATTATATTTCGTTTTTAAAAACTAATGATAATGACAAATTTGATGTGATGAGTGATGTATGTAAATAAAACAAAAATTATATATTTGATATGTAAAAATAAAAGAATTGTGTAGTATGCAACTAAATGCACCTTTTTTTAATTTACTTATATTTTAATTAAAATAAAATACAATCATTATAATTAAAAAAATTCGTTCATTTTTTTCTTAATATTGAAGATATTAATTCATGTGCAAAAGTAAATGCTCGGAAAGGGTGAAGAGTGGGAAAAATTATTCCACACGAACATTGCATGCAGATATGCATGCGGTATCCGATCTCCACCGTCGATCAACGCAAAGATGTATTTCGGTGGGCCCCAATTTCAAATTTTTTTTTTTAAAAAAATTTTGATTGCGGAGATCGACAGTAGAGATTGGGCACCGCATGGATCTCTGCATGTTGTGTCCGTATGAAATAATTTCTCGAAGAGTGGAGACCGAAGATAGCAATTGGACTGATAATTATTTTTAAAAATATTCCAAATATGTATAAATTCTTTTGAGAATTTAAATATATATTAACTTATTTTAAAATAGTTAGAATATATATTGAATAAACATAATAAAAATAAATTAATATAGAATAAAATTTTAAAAATATATTAGTTGAATACATTTTCAAAACTAAAATAAAAAAAATATGGGTGCAAACGAACTCAGCTGAGTTTATACAATATGAGCTCGAGCACAAATCAAGTTTTTGCATTTATGTTCAAGCTTGGTTCATTTGTCATTATGACAATGTAAGCTCCGTTTATGTTGAGTTCATGTAATGATAATCAAGTTTTTATTAAACAAATTAACGAGTGGTATCGTAGAGCAACTTAATCTCTAATCAAATGATAATTACCAAGAAAATTAAAATTAATGCAATAAAATCATTTATTTTCTAATCAAATGAATCTTATCAAGCAAACTAATAAGTGTTAGATTGGGTAAAACCACAAGCTTTAAATTGAAACTTAATCTTATTCACAAACATTAGATCAAGCTTTAATTAAACTTATTAATCATCTTGTTCATGAACTTTAAATGAAACTATTCATTAAGATTTTTAACAGGTTCATTCGAGAGATTTGAACGAAGATGTCCGTAAAAATAAAAGAATTAAATAACGAGTTGTTCAAGCGGGTTTATTTAAAAATATTCAAATTTATTCAATTAGAGCTTGTTTGAGTTTACTTTTATTTGTTGAATTTTTTGCATGCTCCATTTTTTTTTGCTTATAGTTCAAAAAATCACATGGGTGCTTGATTTGTAAATAGGAATGTTGTGGGTGCCCTGTATGTAATTATCCCTTAAGAAAAACAAAAGCCCAAGGAGATAAATGATAAATACCCCAATTTCAGTGGATGATGAAAGAATGCACTGTACATTTTGTCCAAAATGCAACGAGCATCGAAGCCGTTCCTCCCTCTTCTAGCATGAGTTCTTGGGGCAGAGGTAGACCCGACCGTAAACCCAGCGATGCTCGGATCCAGAGCTCCACTGCTGCATATAAATTACAAGCATATAGTCAAATCAGAGAGAAATGCATTCCTTAACTTATAAAATCAACACTTGCGGGCACAGAAATTAATTATATTATTTAAGGAGCAAAAGAAAACTAAATAGAAGCCATATTTGACAAGGAAATGCAAATTAATTAATATCAAAAATTAACTTAAATGGAGTATTTACATACATACAAACCAATTCCTATGCATACATATATAACACCTAAAATTTTCTTTTTTACATATATACCACCCAAATCTTTCATATCAACATCAACAATACCACCAGTTTAACTTTTGAGGAGTGAAATTCATCTCATGAATAGGTAAGGTGGCATGTGTGGGGTGGGGTGCATGTAAATCTTCCTTAAATTTATTTCAGGATTTTAACCAAAAAATTTCCATTGACAAATTCTTTTCTCAATCATGAAGAAAAATTCATCAGATCAAATCATTGTTGAGAACCTCGTAGATGTGCAGGCAAGCCGGCCCGAGCCGAGCCCGAGTAACCAAGGCTTGAGCTCATCATAACTAATTAACAGCGTTCTAGGACTTCAAGCCCAAATTCAATTCTAGTAGTTCAAATTGGCTCACAAGCCAATTCATAACTTGTGATATAAAAAGATAATTCAAATTCAATCATTGCCAACATAAAATGATTATATGTATGTATGTATGGCATGCATATGTGTGTGTGTGTGTGATCAATTTTTACATACGCCTTACCTATGCATGAAAAGGGGTGTTTTACATTTTGTAAAGTTAAAATTGTGGTATTTTTTATGTGATGCAAAAGATTTGAGTTGGTATAAATGTAAAAAAGTAAACTTTAGGTGTTAAATATGTAAATATATAAGATTTGGGCGGCATGCATGTGGATGCCACATGAAATAAAGGAGCAACCAAATGAAGCACAGAAAAGCAGAAAATGCATACCTCCACTTTACCGCGAAACTCCAATCTACTTTGACATACATGACAATGTGTGCCATGTGGACGGAGCATAGAATTTTCAGTCTTCATAAATGCAAACACCTGAGAAGTAATAATGTATGAATAAGCCAAGTGCTTTATAATTAAAACATATAACAGAAAGTCAATATACAGTTGCTATGGCTTCAACCTCCTCCCCACAATTTGGGCATGCGCCTTTTAATGCCACCAAGTGCTTCATCCAGAGGTCTTTCAGAGCTTGAACTGTTTAGAAGACCAGTAAAGAGAAAAGTGGCAATATAAAGCTTGTCAGAAAACTGATGAGCATTAAGTGAAAATATGAGCAATTTTTATTATTTCTTTGGGAAATGTACATCATACCACATAATTCTTATGTATGTACATCTAAAATCTAAACTTTTATATTTATATTTATAAAACTTCAGTGGCATAAACCTAAGTATGAAAAAGTGTATTTCACTTTTAAGAATTTAGGTAAAAGTCGAATGTTTTATGCAAAATTAAGGATTTGAGTGCTATGCATGTAAATATGAAAGTTTAAGTGTTGGCCATGAAAATACATAAGAATTAGGTGGTACTTTTGGCCCTATTTCTTTCTGTCAGAAATTGCCTTCAATTCAGGAAAACTACATAGAAGGAAAGATTGTTTAACCATTATGTCAAAAGCATGTTCCTATAACTGATGAGTAATGAATAATTGTCCCAAATTTTGGGTGACATCCAAAAGCCCATTGAATGATGTTTAGTGGCAGCAACCAATGAGGTCTAAATAAGTCGGCTAATGATATAAGTAGGCTAATGATATAAACTTCAGTAAAAAATTCTCAAAGATTTATGAATAGTCTAAATTCTAGGGGGTCAGCTAAGATCACTTTTCTTTTGTATTTTTTATTTTTCTTAAATTTTTGTTTTAATTTGAAATAAAACACATTGATATCTTAAAAACATATTTTTAATTTTATGAAATTTTGAATAAATTAATTTATTTAGTTATAACAGTTGTAGACAGTGGCAGCAACCAATGAGGCAATGATGACAATGGCAACAATGGTGACCAGTAGCTAGAGGTGATACCCAGAAGGTGATAACTGGATATAGTGTTGTCTTTGTGTTTTTCAAAACAAGTTGGAGTGTGCACGTGCGCGCATATATGGCATTCTCTAGATAAGTGGATAAGATTATTTCTTTGCAAGGGCTTAAGTGCGTTATTGAGAACAAAAACACTTAAATCAATGACAAAAGTACATGTTCTTCAATTCCTACTGAATTGTATCTCGATAAATTTGACAATCTATAAGCAACAATTGACTAATCATCTCATATAAATGCAAATTAAAAGACCATTTGTGCGACAGGGACCGGCAAATTGCAGCATTTCGTATTAAAAATCAGAAATAACACAACAAATCATGCCACATTAAAATAAAAAATGAAGGCTTGCTGTTAATTTGTTATTTGTATAAAAAAAAAAATAGCGGCATTTACATACATACCACAGAACTCTTATGTATTTAAATATCTAACACCTACACTTTCATATTTATATTTATAACACTCGACACTTCAACATCACAACAAAAATATCACCGTTGTTAACTTTTTCATAGTGATTTAATTTACCCGTGCATGAGTCATAACACCAAAATAATATAAGGGTAAATATCAAGCTTTAGGTGTTAGATATGCAAGTACAAAAGATATGTGTTTTATATATGTAAATTTCATAAGAAAATAATATAATTTACCCGATGAAGATGCAATGGGATAACCAATGGAAAATCCCAGTCCAGCGAGCAAAGCCTGGTTTAGCACTGGAACTACATCAAAAGGATATTTCTTGGTGCTTACAAAGACTCTTGAGCTTAAAGCATCTTCAAAAACTGTGCTGATTGTGAGGATGGTAGGAATGAGAACGGCAGAACTGCCGAGAGCGAGTAACAAAATCCATACAATTACTAATGCCAAAACCTGAGAAGGGTCTTCCTGCCCTAAAAGGACAAATAAGCCATAAAAATCCACAAACAAGTAACATGTTGTACTCCGAAAATAAAAAAAAAAAAAAGGACATTTTAGGACTTGTTTGGGATCAATTTTATTTTTTTGTTTTTTCCTTGTTTAAAAAAAATATTTCTTTCTTTAGTGAGTTTTATATATAGTTTTTTTTTTTTTCTAAAAACAATTTAGCATGTTTTTGAAAAACACATGTTTTGATGATTTTAAAAACAAACATAACTAAATCAAGTAGTTCAAACATGTTTTGTTAGCCACAAAGATGATGTGGAAACAGAACACAAAGAGAAGTACCTCCGCATCAGCATATGTCGATTGTCGCAAGAGGCTACAGCGAGGATACTTGACAACACATTTTGAGCCATACAAACGTAGTTTTAACTGTTATTTCCCATTTTATTAATTAGTTTAGGAATTAAAAAATGATAAAAGCATTGTCAAGGTGGTAAAGAGACGGAACGTGTTTACCTCTACTCTATCAAACATGTCATCAAAAATCAAAGGTTTACCACTATAATAGGAGTCCCGAGCCTATGGTAACAAGAAAATAAAAAAGGCTGTGTTAGATACATGATAATCAAGATCATCAGTTAAACTAATTATATCGTGGTATTCAACTTTTCTAAAACATACAATGCTCCTTTGAGGTTGTTTTTAACTTAAACAAAACAGATGATAATGGAAGGTCGTGATAATGCATCCTACACATCACGTGATAAGTTGTTTAATGTGAATAAAGAGAAATAATAAAAGCTAGTCTACAGACGAGATAGATGAGAAGATGGGCAAGGAAGAGAGGCAGCCATTGCCATTTCATTAAATGCATGTGTATTATAGATACAGGGGCCGTCTGGCAACAACTTCAGTAAAACCTGTAAATGCAGACTTACCAAATCCTGCCAACACCAAAATTTAGTAAATACAGGATTTATCATTTAAGACAAAACTGAAAGGAATTGGGAATAAACTGGATTTACTAAATCCGGGATTTAAATTTTGCATTTTTTTTGTCTGATAGAGTCAAGTTAAATCCCACTTAAATCCATTACCAGACAGCCCCACAGGAGGATAAGCAGGTTAACTGTGTAAAGATGTGCTAGGGACCAAAGGCCAGGAGTGATATTGCAATTATAAATGAGCAATGAAGATGTCGGTTATGATAGCTGTTATAATCCTTGCAGCAGGGATGAGCTAAAGATCGTGTAGCCATTGCTATTAGTTGATATGATGAATAACAAAGGAAGCAAATAGAATAAAATAGATTTGCATGAAAAACCTTTGCGGGAAATACCATGGACGGGGGAGAAGAACATTCACCACACTAGAAAAAAGTTACAAACTGGAGAACTAAAAGTTTAGCGGGGCTGACTCCCTTCACATAGCAAATCTTAGTGTACACACCCTAATAGAACCATCTTGAAACACATAAATGTATGTACGACTAAAAATCCCCCAAAAAACATTTTCCTATAATTTTGGTTTCACTGCATATTTCGTACCATGAGCATTTCAATTTAAGCCCCAATAGAAGGTCACAAATTCTAACATTAGTGAAATCCCTTCAACCCTCACAACCTCTCTATAACACAAGGAGAACACATCACAGCTATCTATTCGCAAAGATGATGAGAGTAAGTATCCTTCCCAGGCAAACTATAGTGTATAAACCTCAGTCTATCTAGAGCACTAGCACAACAAATCCTCTCTCACTCCTATTAACTGATATATCTATCCCGCAGCTTATAAGCAAATCAAGATTGTATTTGCCAGCTGTCATAATCCTGACTTATTTGATATATGCTCTCTAACTAAAATTAAGGTACCTGCAGAAGCAAAATAGAATCGGTTAAACCTCTGGTTTACAAGATTTCAAAAAGCGGAGAGAAGAAATCAGAAGAGGAAGAAGAAGAAAAACAGAGAGGAATTCCCACACCGTATCATTATTCCAGCAAAGGCCAAAAGCCACAAAATTAATACAGGGATGTGTATATATAGGAATGCGGAGACCAGATTGAGACATGTTGCAGCAGCTATTGACGGCCTTGTAATGAATCCAAAGCTTACGTAAAGTAATACTGCCCCTAAAGTTGATGGTTCATATAGGAAGTATCAACTTGTAATACTGTTGAATCTGATAGAGCTAAGAGCTCTAGTAAAAATGTCTATTAAATGATCTATGGTTGATAAGTGATGAGCTGTGATACGTTTGTTTGTAATGCAGTTACAAATGAAGTGACCATCGATCTCAATGTGTTTGGTTCTTGCGTGAAAAACTGGTTTATTCGCTAGAGTCAAAGCTGAGATTTTGTCACAATAGAGTGGTGTTGGTGCGGTGAAAAGGACTTTGAAGTCCTGAAGGAGTCACCTTAGCCTGATAATAGCGGTGATTGTGGATGATAAGGCCCGATATTCTGCTTCCGTCGAGGAGCAGGCAACGGTTGTTTATCTTGGTACACCAGGAGAAGAGATTTGTGCCAAGGAATGCGCAATACCCGACGGTGGATTTGCGATCAGCCAGGTCACCTACCCAACTGGAGTCGGAGAACAACTTGAGTTGTAAATCGCTTCTGTATATCAGTAGACCTTTGACGCGAGTGCCTATGATATACCTTAGTACCCGTTTTAATTGAATTAAATGTTTTTTCAGAGGTTGATGAAGATATTGGCATAATTTGTTGGCCAAAAAGGTTATGTCAGGCTGTGCAAGCGTAAGGTATTGAGGGGAACCGGCGAGGTATCTGTAGAGTGTTCCATGTCTCGTTGTCGTCAGTTATAGAAGGTGCGACCTTAGTGGAGATAGGGGTTTTGATCAACTAGCATAATACCATCCCGTCCTTCGCTAGTATGTTTTCGACATATTTAGAATGACAGAGATATAATCCGTTATCTGGATTCCAAGAAATGTGCATGGTTTACTAAGATTTTTGAGTTGAAAATGTTGGTGTAAATGGGTGACAATATGAGTTAGAAAGGTGGAATCTCTCCCTGAAATTAAGATATCGTCGACATATATTAAAATGTAGTTCTCCAGATTAGGTTCTGTAGAGAACATGAGGAAGGGATCAGCTTGGCCTAGTTGAAAGCCTAGAGATTGCAAGGTGGATGTTAGGGTAGAATGTCATTGCCATGGAGATTGCTTGAGAACGTAGAGGGCTTTCTTCATAAGCCATACATGAATTGGTTTTTTAGAGTCCACAAATCTAAGGGGTTGTGACATGAACACCGTCTCATGCATTGGGCAATTTAGAAAGACGTTTGAGATGTCTAGCTTAATAATTTCCCACTGCTTGAACATGGCCACGGTGAGAAAGGTGCGGATGGTGGAAAATTTGTCTACAGGGCTGAAGTTTTGGTTATAGTTAATATTGTGTTGTTATTTGTATCCTTGTGCCACAAGTATTGCCTTGTGACGGATAATGGTGCCATCTGATTTGTGTTTTGTTTTATAAGTCCATTTGCAACCGAAGACGTTCTGTGAAGGTGATGAAGAGATTAGAGTCCAGGTTCCTTGGAGAGAGAAGAACTTGGAATTCCCTCGACATAACTTGATGCCAGTGTAGGGTACTTGACAGCCTCATGGTAGGAGGTTGGGTCCTTGGAGGAGTCAATGAGGGTGTGATGTAGATCAAAGATGGCTTGGGTTTAAGAGTACCAGTTTTGCTCCGAGTAAGCATGATGTGATGGTTCGGATGGGGATGCAGTTGGCGCAAGGGACTGTTTGGGAGGGACGGGTTGGTGTGGCTGATGTGGGGGTTGTTGTATGAGGAAGGAGTGGGATTTCTAGTAAGTGACGTGAGGCTTCAGGAAAGCTGTTGGGGTCAAGGATGGCTTGATGCTTGGGATGGTGTTGTAGATGTGTGGGGAGGTCCGTATAGGGTGGGTACAAGGGTTATAGGTGGTAAATGATTTAATGTTGCAAGTATTGTGTTGGTGGTTGGTATGGATGTGGGAGTAATTTGGTATGAGAAGATATTTTCATAAAACTTGACGTGCCTGAATTGTAGGTTTTACCGGTGGCTATTTCATAGCAATTGTATCCTTTATGGTGAGGGGAGTAGTCGGAAAAGACACAAGGGGTAGATCTAGGTGAGAATTTGTTTTTTGCTTGAAGATTGAGCCATGGGAAGCAAAGGCATCCTATAGTTTTGAGGTATGTGTATTAGGGTGGATTTTGGTATAACAACAGAAATGGAGCTTTGTTGCCAGTGTTCGGTGAGGGAAGAAGATTACTTAAGCAGCGGTTTGAACAAAATCTGTCCAAAAAGTGGGAGGAAAGTTTATTGCTTTCATGAGAGCCCGGGACATTTCAAATGCATGTCTATGTTTTCTCTCAGCGACGTCCTTTTTCTCTGTGGTGTACGAACAACTGCGTTGGTGATGGATCCCTTGGCTGTTTAAATAGGTGCCGAGGGAATTGTTGATGCATTCTCCTCCCCTTCTATTCTGAGGATTTGGAACTTTTCAACCATATGCTTGAAGCTTATGAACGTGTTGATAGCATTAGATTTTTGTTTTAATAAGCATAACCAACACTAACGAGAGTAGTCATCCACACATGATATAATATTTGTAACCTTTGGAAGAAGGAAATGAGGAAAGTGCCCATACATCAGAGTGGACTAATTAGAGAGGTTTATAGCTATGATGAGACTACTTTAAAAACTGTAATTTGCAGCTTTTAGATACATTTTAAGAGATACAAGGAAATTGCGGAATTTTTATCTTCAAAAGTGGTAGTAGACTTGCTAGTTGAGGGAGAGTGGATGTGTTTGAATGACCGAGTTGATCGAGCCATGGCGGAGAGGTTATTGGCATGGAAGTTAGAGCAGTGTGGGACATAAATTTAGATCTTTTAGGAAATTGGAGAGGGTAGAGTTCGTTGCGTGCAGGACCATTGAGTAGAATTTGGTTGGTCTGACAGTCCCTGACAACATAGCTCGATTGATCAAAGTATAGAGAACACTCGTTATCAACCACTAATGTATGAACTGACAGTAGGTTGAAGGAAAGATGTGGGACATGAAAAAGAGGATTTAGTTTGAGCTTACATGTGAGTGCAGTTGGTACGTCTTGACCGAAATGAGTGATAGAAAGAAATTGTTCTCTACTGATGGCTATCTACTGGTTTTCCTGGTATGGCTGTGAGATTGTTGGAGATATTGCTAATTTCTAGATATATGAGAGGTGGCTTCAGTGTCAAGGAGTCATTTGGTGTCTTGAACAGCAGAGTTGGTGACAAGAATAGATTTTAGTGAGGGAGGGATTGTATAAGACCGATCCATCCTATATCAGCATTTGATTGTTGAATGGCTGGTTTTGGAGCAAATTTGACATACGAGGTTGCTTGATTTGGGTTTTCGGCTGCTCGAGAAATCAGTAATGGTGGGATTGGATCTGCTCTTGCAGTTGGAGAACCAACCACGACCTCTGTAGTGTTGTGTGTAGAGGGCAGTTTGCGGTTGCGGTTGATTGGTTGAGAGTAGTTCTTTCGGAAATTTGACCGTAATATTGGTTTCTTCGTTGCATAGCAA